TTTCAACTAAATTTTCACGATATTATAGCATCTCTTAGTGTGAAAACTATATATACAATTTGAACAATATTTGCTCTCTTATTTTCTCTTCATTCATATGCAAAACCTTCCCAGATGATGTCCAAAACTGTTTGTGTTAATGAACACATCCTTTCATACCTGCATGAAGACACTGAAGTTGGAGGTATTCCTTTCACTATTTATAGTTAAGCTCTTGAATGTTCCCCTTCATTTTACGAGATTTTTTATATTTCCTATCCTTGCCTATATACTTATATTTTAATGTGAAAGATTTTATTTTTAATTTCCCCTAGAGTTTTGAGATAAAAATGACAAATAAAATTATATATATTTGAAGTATATGATGTGATATTTTGATATACGTATACATTGTGAAATCATTACCATTATCAAGCTAATTAATATTTCCATCACCTCACACAGTTACCATTTGTTTATTTCTTTTTCGTGTGTTAAAATATTTAAGATTTATTGTCTTAGCAAGTTTCAAATATGCAATTTAGTACTATTAACTACAGTTATATGCTCCATAGTAGATCTCAACACTCGCTCATCCTGCATGACCAAAACCCTTTGACCAGTATTTCCCTGTTTTCCTCAACTTCCAGCTCCTGTAAGCCTTGCTTCTAGTCTCTGCTTCTATGAGAGTGACTTTTTTTGATTCCACATGTAAGTGATTTCATTTACTATTGTCTTTCTGTGTCGACTTATTTCACTTATCCTAGTGTTCTCCAGGTTCATGCATGTTGTCACAAGTGACGATTTTCTTCTTTCATAAGGCTGAATAATACCTACCATTTCTTTATCTGCTCATTCATTGATGGACATATACCTTTGTTCCACATCTTCAGTTTTGTGAATAATGCTGTAAAGTACATGAGAATGCAGATATTTCTTTGATTTTCTGATTTCATTTCCTTTGTATATATGCCCCAAAATGGGATAGCTGGGTCATATAGCAGTTTTATTTTTAATTTTTTTTTTTTTTTTGAGACAGAATCTTGCTGTGTCACCTGGGGTAGAGTGCAATGGTATCATCATAACTCACTGCAACTTCAAACTTCTGGGCTCAAGCAATCCTCCTGCCTCAGTCTCTAAGGAGCTGGGACTATAGGAGTGCACCACCATGCCTGGTTAACTTTTCTACTTTTTGTGGATATGAATTCTCAGTCCTGTTCAAGTGGTCTCAAACTCCTGGCCTCAAGCAATCCTCCTGGCTTAGCCTTCCAGAGTGCCAGGATTAAAGGCGTGAGCCACCACGACTGGCCTCTATTTTAATTTTTAAGGAATCTTCGTACTGTTTTCCACAACGGGTATACAAACTTACATTCTCACTAATAGTATACAGCGGTTCCCTTTTCACCACATCCGTGTCAACACTTATCTTTGTCTTTTTATTAAATTGATTAATTGTGTAGTGGAAAGTCGGAGCTTTTAGTGTACCTATCACCCAAATAGTGTACGTTGTACATTATAGATAATTTTAATCCCTCGATCACTTCTACCTCTTCCCTTGTTGCCTCTAAGTTGCTTACTTTGAGCAGTTTCCAAAAAGAATAGAATTTCCCTTCAAAGAGAGATGTTTTGCCATTGTTACAAAAATGTCTGCTACAACTTTTAAAGATAATTCCAAGAGAAGAATTTTAAGAATGTATGGGCAATGGTGATTATAATTGGAATAAGTACATAGTCATCAAAAGTGTGTGTTTTGGTTGGATAATTTAAGAAGGGGAGCGCCTATTAAAATTCAGTCACACTGGTTTATAGATATACTTAATCAATGGAAAGCATTGCAATGAAAATCCAGTTTTATGGGAGGTGGGAACACCACTTCCTGGGCTATAATAAAGTTCTGATGCAGCTTCATACAATAAGGAGGAAGAGTCTGTATACACAACCAGCACCTGTAGGGATATATAAAGGGTGCAGCCCAATGAGGGGCAGAGTGAAACTCTGCTTCTTCCTCTCAACCACAGGCTGCTCTCAAAACCTCACTATGTCTTGCCCCAACTACTACTCAGGAAACTGCAGCTCAGGAGCCCTCAGAAACTCCTGCCATATTCCTCCCACCTCCTCCATTGCTGTCTACTCCACCAATGTGAGCTGTGGAGATGCCCTCTACTTACCTGGTAGCTGTCAAGACTGCACCTGGCTCACAGACAACTGCCAGGAGACCTGCGGGGAACCAACCAGCTGCCAGCCGGCCAACCTTGAAACCTCTTGCTGTTCTTCCTCTGCCTACTACGTGCCCAGACCCTGCCAAGGAACCAGTTTTCTTCCTGCTTCTTCCTTCATCTCCAGCTCCTACCTCCCAGGATCCTGTAGCCCTCTAAACTTTACATCCAGCAGCTACCGTCCACTGATCCCCCTGCTCAGTAGTGGCCAGTTCCTAGGAGGCTACGTGCCCAGTTGCTATCGCCCCCTCACCTGCTTGTCCAACAGCTGGAGACCCCTGAGCCTTGCCACCTGTGGATACCCACCCTTGGGTTGCTTGGCCTACAGACCTCAAGCACTTCAGATTGTGACCAGCAGCCTCAGACCCCTGGGGCCTCTGTCCGGTGGTTGCCAGCCTCTGAGCCCTGTGTTCAGCACTTGTCGTCCATCTTGCTTTGCACAAGGATGCCAGTAGCTTCCTTGTTCAAGTGAAAGAAATCACACTGAGGATCCAGGACAAAAATTTCAACTCCATGGACTTTGCGTCTTTCCTAGTAGCTTTCCTTTTGCTTTTTCTTGTTTTTGTTGTCTCTGATCTAATGCAAACTCCTCCTTTACCATTTCATGACTCGTTTTCATCTTTCCTTGACATAAGGCAGTAGTGTACGATGCTATTCAATATTGCTCTAGTTTGGGAAGAATGTATTCGACTCATGCAATAATAAATGAGATTGAGAATTAAGAATCTGGTTCATTATGGTTTTATTTCATTACTCCATTTTGACACAGAAATGGTCAACCTCAACTGCTTGAAAAATAAGTGGCGAGGACAGGTGATAGCTCAACTGTATGTTCTCACCTGGTAGTAGGGGAATTGTTTATTCCTCAAGCTGCTTTTTAAGTTCTCACCCTGTGTACTTAAAAGATCCAAAAAGTCCTTTATGGAAGTTACTTTCAAAAGCCAAGGTTAGGAATGATTTCTTTTACCTCTGTCTTCCAGTGAACACACTTCCACTAGAATGTTCTTTCTAATCGCAAACCTAACCAAGCTTCTGCTTAAGCCTTTCATGGCTTCCAATGATCTATTCCCATGAGATAAAAATCCAAACCCCTTAGCATGATATCTGGTTTCTTTTGTTGTTTTTCTGCCTCCTACCACTTTGGCTTCATCTCTTTCTGCTCAATATTGCAAACGCTAAGGTCCTATAATCCTCACTTACACGTAGGTCCCCAAACATTTGCTTTTCACAAACATCTATCCTATTGGATACGTTATAATCAAGATCAGGGTGTCCTTCGGCTCTATCTTGAAAACCGGTACACACTTTTTAAAACACAGCCCAAGTTTCATTTATTAACCTGTTGATTTATTCAGCAAAAAAAAAAAAAAATGTACTGCTTGCTAACTATGTGCTGAGCCATGACATGCCAGGCACAAGAGATATGCAGATAAACAAGACAGTCCTGAACTATCACAGAGTTTACCAGAAGTCATGTGTTATGGAACATATCTCAACTAAAGATATTTTTTTTTCTCTACTCAACATAAAATGTTTGGGGGTTATATATTTCACAAATTAAAATGAAACTAAGTTGTAAAGACAGGAATGTTTACCCTTCTGAGGAACTGGGGTATCTAGGGTGGATGTTGGGGTGCAGGAAAGGCAGTGCTTGCCAGGAGCCAAGGAGCAGCCTTTTCCCTTTGGAAGAGATATTTGCCTCTAGTTCTGTCCCCATCCTGCCCTGTGGACGTCCTGATGCAGCAGCAGAATAGAAGCTCCTCTTATCATCATGATCATGCTGCTGTTCCAAAATTCATTCCAGTTCATTCTTTTGCCTTATTTGCCAGACTCTCCTGGATATTCCAAGTTTTTGACATCTGTACCCCTCATTCTCTGAAAACTTTCCCAGGCCCTCTCCTTGCCTTTTACACTAATCATACCTTGGCTCACACTGCCTTTTATCTCAGACGTACATCTGTTGTTAATCTTGCCAGACTGTTTATTTTTAACAGCACTCAAAAATGAGGTTTTGGTTGAAATATAACACACATACAGATTTCTGCCTAAGCCAGTAGTCCACAGATAAAGTCATTGCTTTGACTTCTCACCCATATATTAGGTTTGCCTGTTCTAGAAATTTAAAATGGACTTTATAATGTTGATACCCATTTTTCTCTGTCTTCTTTTACTAAATATTATGTTTGTGACATTTTCCCATCTTGTTTCGTGTACCAGTAGTCTGTTTATTTTCCTTGATGTATAATATTCAAGGTATGAAAACACCAAAATTTATTTATTCATTCTTTGTGGATTAACATTTGGGTTATTTCAAGTTGTAATCTATTAAAAATAATGTGTAGAGTATTCTTTTATGCTTATACTATATTTTGATACACATATGGAAATAGTTCTATTGTGCAACATATTTAGGAGTGGAATTAAGTTATATGAATATACTTTTCAGCTCTATTTTATGCCGTGAGAAAGTTATACACTGCAGTTATGCCAATATTGACTTCTACTCTGAGGGTATGAGAATTCCAGTTGTTTTACATACTCACCAAAACCTAAAATTATCAGTATTTTTAGATAAAACCTGTTCTATTCACTATGTAATTGTAACAAGTATTGGCTTTATTTTTAATTTACCTTATGACTCTTTGGACTGAGCACTTTTTTTAATGTTTCTTGGCCATTTAGATATCCTTATTTGTGAAGTAACACATTACTTTGTGAAGTAATGCCCTTTTTCTATGTTTTTGATTGGTTTGTCTGTCTTTAGAATTGAGAGTTCTTTATGTAGTCTAGATATTAAGTTTTTGTTGATGATATATATTTTGAATAACTTCTTCCATACCATTCCATGTCTTTTTACCCCTTTCATGGTGTATTTAGATAAATAGAAATTAGTTCAATTTATTAATATTTTATTCATCCTTAGTATTTTTTCTTGTCCTTTTAAAGAAATCTGTGTTTACCCCAAGTTAACAAAGATGTTAACTTCAGAAACATTTTTGTTTTACTTTCAACATTTAAATATAGCGTCAATTTAAAATTAACGTGTGTGTGTGTGTGTGTGTGTGTGTGTGTGTGTGTGTGTGGTGTGTGAGGAAGGGATGAAAATTCCAGTTTAACCAGCATTTTCTCTTAAAAAACCCTCCTTCCCCACTCTTCTGCAGCTTAGTATCATCTTTATATTGTGTGTCTATTTCTAGGTTCTATTCTCTTCTGTTGATTATTTGTCTATCCTTACATCACTAGCATGCTTTATTTTAATTATTTTTTATGTAATTTGAGCCCTTTTGACAGTACATGACTGAGATCTCTGTAAATATTTATTAATTTGGATCACAGTTAATTATGTTTTGATTGGGTGGTTGTGGAAGCTAGAAAAAGAGGGGTTAAAATGTATAGGATAGTGCTGATGAGAAATTCTCTCTATATATTTTCATTTGGAGTTTATGCTATGCTATCCTTCTTGAGGAGAGGTAGAAAAAAGTCTTCCTTTCTCATCTCCTCCAAATTCAGAAGTCTAAAAGTTGGCATTTAAGGAAAATTCTATATTTGTTATGCTATGCCATGCCTAGATTGGATCTGGTAATATTTATACCTTAATAGGGTTTTGCCATATGAATGAAGAGAAAAATGAAGAGAACAATATTGTTCAATTGTATTATAATATAGGTTTTCACATTAAAGGTTGCTTATAATAATCGTAAATTTAGTTTGAAAAAAGTAGACAAGCCTGTTTTTACCCAGAAAACTTTCTTAACATTGTTGGTCCAAAAAGAATTATTTAATCTTCAAGATTAATTTATAATTTTTGGTTATTTTACACCCATTGCATTTCCAATTAAGGGGGCTACACTTTTTCCTATTATTTATAGTAGGCTTATATAAAACCTAAACCTCCAAAAGGGGATAAATTTGATATTCTTTCTTTAAGGCTAAGCTAATTGAAATTATTATTCCCCAAAAAATATTAGAAAAAGGAACAAGATTAAAAAACTTGACAAAGGATTTAAACCCCCCGGAACTTTTTCGTTCTAATTTCCCTTATTCTATATAATTTCTTTGGAAGTTGACTTTTCAGATGAAAAAATAGTAATGGAAAAAATGGTATATCAAAAGAAGATTATTTGAAACTTTAATGTAAAGGCCAAATTTTTATATTATAAAGGAAAAAAACCAGTTATATTTTATGATGGCCTTGATAACTGGGTTCCCAGTATATAAATTTTAATTAAATAATAGAACCTAGGTTTCCTTCCCACAGGGTTTCTGAGAAAAATGATCATTACCTACTTAAAATTAGAAATGTTTTAAGGTTTAAGTAATCTAAAAATAGTGTAAAGGGAAACAAATACAACGGTATCTTGATATAACGATAAAGGCCTAGTAAAATAGTAGCTAAATAAGAGCTCTGTAATAAGTGGAAAAAATAAGGACACATTAAAGAATATTTTTGTTTGCAAGAAAATTTGTGTGAGAGAAGTGTAAATGCGCATTTGAAGAGGAAAACCAAGAAAAGCAAAAAAAAGAGAAGAGAGAAGCCCCTGAAAAATCCCATTAGAAAAAGAATTAGGTGGTGATAAATATATACAATCTAAAAAGCTTGCCAACAAGATGGTTTAGGTGGCAGAAAATGGTCTGTTTAAAGATTTACAAAGAAAAGGAAGCTAATTAACCTGAAGGTCTTTGAATTGATAGATAAAATTTAGGGAAAATTATCCAAACAAGAGAAAGAAGTGGGTAAAGTGAGAGATGATGAAAAAAGAATGGAATTCAGTGTAAACTGGAACTGAATTTAGCAAAACCAAAAGGGTGGAAAGATAACCTTTTATAGGAAGGCAGAAGGAGACCAGCCAAGTGTTTGAAACAAATTCTCTGTGAACAAATTCCAAGATTTTTTAAGTAAAAGAGTTTCCATTATGATGAAAATTAAATATCAGGGAGATTATTTAATCTAAAAAACAAGTGTTCAGGACAAAAAAATAAGAAGACAAAATTAAGAAGATGGGGCAAAAAGATCTCCATTGTTTTTTGGTGGATAAGACATATACAGTACATATTCCAATCAATTCCCATTTTCCATCTTCAACAATATTTAACTTGAAGGTACTAATGTAAAAGGTATGGACTCTTTGCTTATTGTTTCCAGAGGAGAAGCCAAGACACAAAGGAGCAACCAAACCAAATTTGAATTAGCTTTCAGCTAAACTAAGCTGTACCTATTAACTAACATCTTCAAGGTGATGCAAGGCCAGGAATTGCACCCAAGGAAGAAACTCTAAGCCGCTTTGGTTTCAAAGAGCACTGATGGATGAGGGCCTGGGGATAAGAGTTGGGGTGAGTTGCTGGAAAGGAGGGGAGGTCCCTTTTTTCAAAACCCACTTCGGGTACCAAAAATAATCAAAGAGTCCATAGCCTTCTGGCTAAAATTTACTGGAAAATCAGAAACCAATGGTTAGTT